CAGATATCCTATAGATTCGTGTGGAGCCGCTCTCGATCTTCTCCTCGCGGTAATCGACAAAGGCTTGAAGTCCTCCTTAACTAAATCTATTTGAGTTAAACCAACTACCTTGAGTTCGGTTTGGATATTTCTGCTAAGAATTGTCCCATCGAGAAGGGTCTCTTTGCTTGAGCTTGGGACTGCTAACGAACCTCACTCTCGTAATTTACAGTACCAATTCACTGTCCACTCATTCATATCAGTTGTCCTCGTATCTGTCGAGCGGGGTACCGCACTGCATAGGACCCTCACACAAAATAGTGCCTTTGATAGACGCAGAGTCACTGATACTCAGACTTGTTGCGGTCGGCTCGGGTGAGTCGTAGGGCTCTTGTGCTGGACATATAGTTCCCTGGTTGATGTCACACAATTAGTGAGCACAGTTCTCCTCTCCATTCTGTAATCAAAGCCTTGGAAAGAGTATTGTGTGTGCAAATAATCGAGATTGAGGGCTATGCCAAGCTTGGACCTGCAGCTCAAATGGGTCGCACGAATCAAGTGTGAACTAGACTTACTCGTTAAACTAATTATCGGGGGTTGGGCGCGGTAAGTAAACACGACCGCGCCGTGCTCCCTGAACGGAAGTCATAATCGAGCAGGGCATTGCGGAAGAGTAAAAACTGCTCACCACACCATCACAACAAGAGGCAGACGAAACCCGCTCCTTTCCTTCCGAGCAGACTGATCAGAAACCTCTCTGAGAAAAATATGAGGTATGCGGGATGTTAGTAGTCAAGGGCATTGTCAACAGAGACAACGACGGATGGTTGAGGGAACTTGAGGGAGTGAGATACTTGAAGAGATCGAAACTTGCAGAAAGCTACAAAGAGAAGTCATGGCAGGGGAAGTGAGAGGCTATCATAAATTTACTGGAAACATATTCTATATTTATGGATCTGGCGGACAATTGCACAACAGAGTTTGATCCATTGAGACGACCCAGAAAACAAAAGAAATGATCAGCGCTCAGTGAGACTGGGGCGAGATTTACTCTAAATGTCTTATATTGCGTACATCAAAATTGGGCTCTGGTAATCAGGGCTGACTGTCTCGAGCTTCCCATCAACCTATTCTCAAAGGGACCCTAATCTGCAGATGCTTCCATCATAGGCACTCAGGTTTATCCTAACACCCATCATAGCTCATGAGTGCGATTCGACCCCTTTCAACTCAGTGCGCTTGTGTTGACTTCTCGCAACCAACTGCCTCGAGGCTGTTGTTGCTCCACTATTCAGACCTCACTTCAACATTCTATTACCAGTGAAACACAACCAGCGTTGAGGCACTCGGCTATCACTAAGCATCCTCATTAACTTACTATCTTGAGACTATAAATGGTTTCCATTCTGAGTGCGGAACTCACTAAGTCTGCTTGCAGTTCGTTCTGGCCATGACCTGGATCACAAGGGTGGAGATAATAATAAAGGACTAAGAGATTCTTGTGACTAAGTGTGAAGTTAATACGGATAAGCATGAGAACTGGGAGGATGAGGCTATCCGAAGTTTGGAGAATCTGAGAATGGTTTTGAAATAAAGTGCAATTCGGAGAATAAAGGAGGAAAATTACATTGAATACGTGTTCTCCTTTCGTGAGCAGGATAGTAAGTTACACAACTCTGGCGCATTGCTAGAGACGGTGGAGCAGGTCAGGGCAAGGCTCAGATGACCTCGGAAGCATCCAAGCTTCCCCATCAGAATTTCAGATGCCAAACATCGGTTGACAGACATCAGTATTAAGTCACAAGTTTGCATTGAGTTACTACTCCGACAACATTCATTCATCTGAGCTATCATAAAGCATCAATCAGATTTAATCGGGTGATCAGTCATTTTCACTTGTTCCAGAGATCATTTTCAGTTAGACGGTGTTCCCCTTCAAAGACACTAGACCGGTTTCAGTCGTCATCGCAACACATGAGTGCAGTTCAATCATTCTCAATCCAGGAGGCTGTTCTGATCTCAACAGGATCGCCTCCAGAGATGCCTTCCAGTATCTTTGTAGTTCACACCGAGTTCGCAGAGGAAACAGTCCATGACCTGAGGTCCTACGTGAAGAAAGGCAAAGAGAGTCATGAGCATCTCGACTAAGTCTGGATCTCGGCGGTCAAATACCTTGAAGAAAGAGAAAGAGAGCTTGATGAGAGTGGAACAAAGCTGATTCGTAGTTTCGGACCCTGGCTGTACACCGATTTAATCAGGTGATCAATCATTTTCACTTGTTCTAGAGATCATTTTCGGTTAGACGGTGTTCCCATTCACAGACACTAGATCAGTTTCGGTCATCATCGCAACACATGAGTGCAGTTCAATCATTCTCAATCCAGGAGGCTATTCTGACCAGTCTCAACAGGATCGCCTCCAGAGATGCCTGCCAGTATCTTTGTAGTTCACACCGAGTTCGCAGAGGAAACAGTCCATGACCTCATGTCCTACATGAAGAAAGGCAAAGAGACTCATGAACATCTCGACTCAATCTGGATCTCGGCGGTCAAATACCTTGAAGAAAATGAAAGAGAGCTTGATGAGAGTGGGACAAAGATGATTCGTAGTTTCAGACCCATGCTCTACACCGACTACCCTAAGCCTCCCGTACCTTTCATCCTCACAGATGGTTCTTGTTGGGGAGACTTGGTAGATTTAGCCAAGAGGCACATCTCTCCAGCTAAGATTGACTATGAGGCTGTGACCGAACCATCCGAGTTTCAGCATCTAAGGCGTGGGATTTTCTCCCAGCCATATCTTCCTATTCTATACGAGGAATTATGTGCTATGGTTGACTTCCGTGTCATGGGTCTCGGGTGGAAGTGTTCAGAGCTTGCAGGATTTAGGTGGCTCTTTATTCAGAAGCCTCAACCTCAGAAAGTACGAGAACTTGGTTCGAGGCACAGGAAGCGCACAACAAAAACAAAAATGAGAGATTGAGTGTATGACCCGAAGGGATGAGTGAGGACTCTTGACGAGTGCTGCCCATGATCCCTTCATGTGTACTTTCTGAGATCATTTTGAGTTTCCATTCTTCCCTTATTTATCCTTACCTTTGCTCGGGTCATATGCATTGGCTTGCTTGATGATTGTATTTTCGGATATTCCTGTCACAGTTTTAAAAATTAGTAAATTGGCAAATTGATGTATGCATGACACACCAGAGTTTTATGATTATTATCTGCATGATCTTAGCTGTTCCGAATCAAAATAAAAGAGTCCTAAGACCGGGACCGACGAGGATTGCAATTGAAGGATTTCGCTCGAAGCCGGACGCACACAACAGGAAGGGATTTGCTATATTTATTTATTTTTTTATTGCAGACAAGCATAAATTGCAAGGAAGATGAGCAATAGCGAACTTCAGCAATTAAACAGCATCATACATATGAGTCCAGATAGTCGTGACCTCGAACCAACAACAGAATTGCATCACGAGAATCACCAAATAAGAACACATCAAGAGTTCATAATTGACAATGCTGAAATAGTCCCATCATCATCAACAAAGAACCAGAGTTGATATCCTATCTGGCGCTCGGCGCCCAAACTATATGTGGCAGATCCTATCTAGCCTATACTACGAAGCCGAAAGATGACGTCAACAACATTCCCGAAGTACGAGCATATGGCGACCAATGTCGCACGCTTCCAGCACCAGGTATGTCTCGCGCTACACTCACAACCTCGTTCCCCAACTCACAGATGCCACTAGCACCCAAGGACCACCCTACGCCTCACCCAGGTTACAGCAGCGCAGCTCGACTATGGCTGCGTGCTCCTTCCCTGCTCGCCCGTGAGAGCGTAGGCGCCAGCCAGCAAATAGCGCAGCATGCAGCCAACACCCGAATCCCCAATGAGGAGGCAGGCCCTTCCCTATATCGAAGTGGCCTGCCTGTGTCCAGTCCCAGGAAGCTTCCAGTAGGCCCCGGTAGCCTGAGGCACAGCACGACGAGAGCAGGCCTTGGGCCTGGAGTGGTTGCATGTGCCCAACTGCCTTCGGCCTGTGTTTGGCCCGATACCTGTATCCAGCCCAGGGCCTGCTTCACATACATTCACACAGGTGGCCCAGGGCCTGGGTTCACTCAACCAACTGGCACTGCGCAACTGCCTGAATTTCCTTGAGTTGCGTGGTGGCCAGAAAAGGGCCCTGAGGGCCTCGTCGAGCCTGCCTTCACTTAGGGTGGCCGACGGGCTGCAAAATGGGGCCTTATGGGGCTCATAGAGGCACTGGCCTCGCATTCCGTCCTCCTTAGCTTCAACAGTCCTCTGAGAAGCTCAATCTTCGATCATAGGGCGCTTTCCCTTCTGCAAAGATCTCTCGTATTGGGTTACAACTTGAGGAGCGGTCTGGATGAGCTCTTCCCTGGTGAACCAGCGGTCCTACTTTGGATCAGTGTAATGCCGGAACCGAACGTGGTACTGCAGCTTCGGTTTCGGAGGGTATCCACTGCCTGCTGGTCTTGATACCGACAACTCTCTGTGATCCACAATATCATCGATGTCCACCGCTCCATCCATGGTTGGGGCAGCATTGAGCGACGAAATGGAAACTGGTCAGTATCTTTGAAAGGTGCCAGCTTGGAGGCGTGAAAGACAGGGTAAGTACGAAGATGACCAGGGATCCGGACAACATAAGATGGCCCATCCGGATCTGTCCCAACGATATCCAAGACTTCCCAGGGTCCAAAGTACTGGGGCATGAGTTTGCGGGAGATCCCCTGCTCCTGTCCCAGTTCGGGCGACTTAACCCAGACCCTATCCCCAACCTGAAATGTAGAAGGCCGGCGGTGTCTATTTTCAGACTCTATCATTGCAGCCTGCGCCCTCTGCATCTGTTCTACAGCCTGCTGCATCTTCTGTTCATAACGGTAAGCAAATTCCAAGGTACCTGGTGTAGCAGTTGTTTGATTCTCGGGAAGAAGAAAGTCTAGGGGCGGTCTAGGCTTGAATGCTAGCAGTAAGCTATTTGGGCTCACCCTGGTGGCGCTGTGCACAACGTTGTTGTACAAGCTGGTGATGAGAGCAAGCTTTTCATCCCAGTCCACCTGGTTGGGCTTGATGTAATGCCTCAACAGGTGTTGTACAGCGCGGTTCAGTTGCTCAGCCTGACTGTTGGCCTCTAGGTGATTCCCAGAAGTCATCTGCAACTGACTTCCCTGCTCTGCAGCAGCGGCCTTCCACAACTCGCTGGTGAACCAGACATCCCTGTCACTAATAATAGACTTCGGGAAACCAAAGTCCCTGACCCAGTTCTCTTTAAACATTCTGATCACGTACTCCGTTCTGGCTGTTTCCGACATTGCCACTAACCTAGCATACTTGTTAAATTTATCCACGATGACGAAGATGTGTCGCATCCCACTCTTGCTGGTGATCAGAGTATCCATGAAGTCCATGGACAGACTCTCACCAGGCCGTTCAGAAATCGGAAGGGGCTTCAGGAGCCCAAGAGGAGCCTGAGTATGGGGCTTGTCTCTTTGACATACCTGACAAGTCTCCACGTACAGCTGGGCATCTCGCATCACCGTGGGCCACCAGAACCGCTGCAGCAGATTGGCTGCGGTCTTCTTGTACCCAAAATGACCAGTGGCATCATGACACTCTCCTAAAAACAAACTACGCAAAGACTCGCTACTTGGGACACACAATCGTTTATTCCCCTCCTTCTGAAGGAACAACAAGCCATTGACCAACTCAAACTCGGCAGAGGTCTTCTTGTCCTTTGCCTGGAGTCTACGTATGATCTCGGACATAAACTGGTCCTCGCGATAGGCTTCCACCAAGGACTGAGTAACATAGTCCGTCAGATTAAACTCAGTAATCAGCGCACCTGAGAAATCAGGTCTACGAGACAAGGCATCCACAACCTTGTTGTACTCCCCTTTCAGATACTGAGGGTCAAAGTCATACTGCTCAATGACTTCGATCCAACGCTTGAGGGTGTCAGAAAGTACAGGCTGGGTTCTCATCCATCTCAGGGTTTGATGATCGGTCCTGAGGATGAAGAATCTCCCAAGGAGATAGTGTCTCCAATGGGTCAGAGCCTTGTAAGTTCCTTCTCATAGGCGGACTTAGCCAACTTCTGAGACGACATTTTCTTAGACATGTACTCTACAGGCCTCAACTTTTGCCCCTCCTGTTGCGCGATCATGGCGCCAATGCCATATTGGCTGGCGTCCGTGGTGACTATGAACGGCTTGTCAGGATCAGAAAGTTTCAAGACCTCGTAGTGTGTCAACGCATGCTTCAAATGTTTGAAAGCAGCCTCGCACTCATCTGTTCATTCCCACGGAGTGTCAAGGCGGGTCAGATCAGTCAAAGGAACGACCACTATGCTATAGTTCTTAACGAAAGTCCTATAGTGGCCTGTCATTCCCAAGAAAGATCTCATCTCAGTGACAGACTGAGGACGTGGCCAATCACGAATGCTGGCCACCTTCGCGTCATCGGGCTTCAACCCTTCCACGGAGATCTCATGACCCAAGTACAAGACACGGGTGCGGCCAAACTCGCACTTCTCACCGTTGATCTTGAACTTGTGTTGTCGCAGGAGACTGAGGACCTTGTCCAGATGTGCAACATGCTCCTCAACAGTCTTACTAAAAATAAGTATGTCATCGAGGTACACGATGACAAACTTATCTAAGTAGTCATGAAATATCCGATTCATAGCATGCTGAAAGGTACCAGGAGCATTGCAAAGGCCGAAAGGCATCACCACAAACTCGTACAGACCGTACCTGAAAGGCGGTTTTGTGTTGATCCTCGGGCCGGATTGCAATCTGATGGTACCCGGACTTCAGATCTATCTTACTGAAGTACCGACACCCTTGCACTCCATCTAACAGATCATCGATGCGCGGTAGGGGTTCTCTATTCTTTACAGTAATGGCATTGAGGCCCCTATAGTCAATGCACATCCTAAGAGTACCCTCCTTCTTCTTAGGTACGAATAGAACTGGAGACCCATAAGGAAAGACACTCGGCTGGATCCAACCCCTCTCTATGAGTTCCTTGAGTTGGCGGCGAAGCTCATCAAGCTCGCCTGGAGACATCCGATAGATCCTACCCTTCGGAATACTAGACCCTGGGTTAATCTCTATCGCGTGGACGACCTCCCTCTCAACAACCCCTGTCGGCTCTTCAAATAGATCAGGGTACTTAGCAACTACTCCCTCTATTTCCGGCGGCATTTTCACCAGCTCGCCTGCAGCAGAGACATAAACTAAATACATACCCTCCTCCTGATTTTGCTTATTATAATTGTAGAACGGGGCCGCACACATGCACCCATAGGACTCAATCAGACTACTAGCTTTGAACTTATGTAATCTGGCGGTCCCTCCACCTAGCAAAGTGTTTGACCACTTTTCGGTCCCAGTCAAACTGGGGCTGTGCCACAGAGAGGTAGTACATACCTAGTAGCATATCCATTGGGAGTTCGTCACTTACTAGAAACGACACACGATGTCTCAAGTCCCCTCCCACGTACGGGAAACAACACTCAACATCCTGGAGGTAGTCGTTGACTACCATGCACTGTTTGTTGGCACAGGTCGACTCCACAGGTCGACTCAGGCGCTGCACTCGCCCCTGTAAACGCAGCCTCTCAACGCACGCGCGACTGATAAAGTTCCTAGTCGAGCAAGTATCATAATAGGCCCCGGCCTTGCGGCCGCCAATGACAACCTCGCTGACGAACATCTCACCCTAGGGGCTTTGGCTAATGCTGTCCAAGAAGCTAGCGGGTCTGATCTAAGACCACTCCACTTCTAGCTCCTCTAAGGACTCAAACACATTCATCGAACAGAGGCTCGATGGGTCTGAATGTGCTTGCGGGACGACGCTGGAGTCAGTAGCTTGGGCCATATCTCGAGATGGTGAGGGTGTCTCCACCACCTCGACCTTAGCAGGAACAACTACTATTCCTACTGGCCCGACGTGTTTCCCGGAACACTGCCTGAAGTACTGGCAACGTTGCTACCAACGGGATGAGAGGATCCCAGCACTTGCCCCATCGTAGGCGGGATCTTTTCTGTCACTTGCTTATTGCGGCACTTGAATTGGCTGTGGCCATATTGACCACAACGAATACAGGCCTGCCGTGAGTAACGATCTCTCCACACGTCCTCTGTGAGACCCGCTTTCTCCCATGGAGGATCGTTGGGGTCAACTTGACTCCTGGACCGGGAGCCTCCGCGGCGTCTACCGGTCGCCTTACCTTTTTGAGCAATGGCAGCGACTACTCCACCCTCTGAAGTTTCTACGCTGCCCGCCTCTGAACCTACTCCCTCCTGGAAGTGTTCATCTACTTCGATGGTGGAACCATCATTATCGACAAACATCAAGCGACTCTTCGCCTTCCAGTTGGGAGACAGTGTCTTCTTTCTCCCATCCGTAGTGGGTGCTTGTCCATGCTCTATCTTAGCTTCAAGGTCTAGGGCCACCTTGCTGAATAAAGGAAAGTTGTGCATATTGATGTTGGCCTCTTTTGCCAACTGGTTCCTGAGAGGCTGAGAAAAGCATCTCAAGTACGAGGTGAGTAGGACCTGGGGGTCATAGCGCACCCCTGGGACACAGATCAAATGCTCAACAGCGTCAGTGGCTTCCCTTACTGACTTAAACTGCCTCGTGTGCAGTGTCAGGATCGCATCAGTGGCCCTTTGGGCCTCCTGAGGATCATGCCACCTTTCCTCCACTATCTTTAGGAAGTCCTCCAATTTCTGGGAGGCCGCCCAAGCGCGGAAGTCATGACCATACCCCTGGAGTTGTACTAAACCACTCAACCATCTTGCTGCACTACCCTCTAGGTAGGAGGCAGCCACAAGCACTTCTTCGTGCGGCAAGGTAAGTTTACACCTTACGTAGACCGGCACTGCCCTCAACCACGTGTCGAGGTTTTCGCCCCTCTTATCCCCTGTGAAAGGTTTGGGAGCGGCGATGGCTGTCTTTGGGACCCACTGTGTCTGTCCCTGTCCCTGCTCTACCACGGGTTGTGGACCCTGTGACACAGGTTGCTATGCCAACTGTTGGGGCTGTGTGCCCTGCAGCTGCACAGGCTGCGAGACAGCAGGCTGTGTGGTGATTGCAACCTGCAACGGAGTTTGGGTGTACACTGTCTGAACAGGAACCTGCAAACTAGTCCCTGCTGATACCCCTCCTGACAGCGGCATGCCCAGGGTAATGATCGCAATCGATGATGGAGCTACATATGGGAATACCCCAGTCACCGGTGGGACATAAGGAGGAGGATGTGCAACGGGCCAGGCACCAGGCCCGGACATTGGTGACGTGGCCTGCGTTCGCCCAACCAACAAGGCCAAACTTTGCTGGATATCCTGAAGGATGGTTGTCTGATGGTCCAGCATCTTGACTACATTCATCAGGACCGACCGAACAAGTCTCACATCTTCTGGCACATTCGTCAGATCCATTTCCTCTAACTCACTAACGCCCGCTTGTCTACGTTGCATCCTGGCTCTTCTTTTGATCATTTTTTCTTTCTCCGCTTTTATCTTTCCTAAAGCATTTTGTAGCTGTGCCTCCTGGAGAACTGCCTCCTGTATGGCGATCTCCTCAGGAGTCAACAACAATGGCTGGCTCGCCATTACGCCAGTGGACTTCACCTGGGTCTGCGCGACCGTTGACCTGACAGACCCTGAACTACCGGCTTGAGAAGTCTGCATTGCTGAGGTAGACATGGCTTGCAAAACTGCGGCCTCACTGCTAGCCTCCGCTGCTCTAACCCTCCTCTGTTGTTGCTGCCTTTCCCTAAGCGGCGGAACATATGTCTGTCGCCCTCTGGTCCTAATGCCAAGTGGGCTACAGGGCGCCTTGCCGATCGCACGATTCGGTCGTCCGGATGCTGTTAGCCCCTATCGCTCATAAGCTATAGACCTGTACACAATCTGCATTAATGCACACTGAATGCCTACCGCAGCGTAGTGCACATACCAATCAAAGCAATTGGTTGCTATTTCATAATAGATATCAATTGAGGTCAACAGGTAAGTCAGATTCCTACAAACGAGACTATTTTTAGTCTGACTAGTCCGCAAACAGTAGCACCAGGGACAAGAAGCAGTTCTAACTAGTGCGGTCTGTCAGATGTCAATGGCTGTATACTTAACTAATCAAAACATAAAAATAGAATAATTTGTGTGGATAGAACAACATGGGATTTTCTCGAACTTATCACCTGGAATCAACCCCTCCCTTAGTTCTTCTGAGTATCACTTGACGTCAGCGTCCCTAACCAATCTGGAGAGCCTTGCGTGTCTAAAGGTGTGTGTCCGGCCCATCCCTGTGCCCCGAGTATCTGCTGAGCTGGCCAGCCTTGCACGTATATTTATCCTCGGCGTGCCGCGAGCCTTACATCACTGGCTGATCCACAGGCATTTTAACATCCGCCCCCAAGTGACATCAGGAATTATTTTACGTCGCAGCAGGACGACGATCATAGCCAGTGATATCCCCTTCCCGTGTTTATTTATAGACGTCGGGTGCTCATCTTTCCTGTAGGGTTGGCCAGCCCAGTAGTACCCATCTAACAGCGCGGCAAGCCGAACAAAGGACAAGCAGCAAGGCATGCGTGCTCTACTCCCTGTGGGTTGGCATGGTGACCGTGACCCAATGCTTCGTCCAGGGCCCTTCAGAAAGCTCCGCCCATCTCCACCCAGATGCTCCACGTGAACATTGCCGACTCTCAAGGTTGAGCGCACTCGACACCTCACGATGAGAGGACTCTCAAGAAGGAACACACAACCTCACGGTAAGAAGTGTCGAAGAGGGTAGATAAGGTTAAGAGCAACATACCTCAATTAGTTGTCCCCAACCACAGAGATAATCTCACCAGATGACCAAATGGCGATTGCGATGACCAGTCACTACATCGGCACAACCAGCATTATCTCGCCGTTCCACCTCAGCATCAATCGCACATTAGATAGTTCTCATCACACTGTCCAGACCACATACACCTCACGTAGCCTTCCTGGCGATCCCCTCACCTCCTGGGTCG